GACTATATACTGTAGTGGACTCATCGACGTCGGCGCTGTATCCGATCCTTCGATCGTGGCGGTCAAAGGCCACAGGAGCCTCAAATCCACGCTTGGAGGCTTCTGTCACGTAAACCAAACAGTTGGCGCAAGCGGTAAGCGGTAAGCCTTGACCTACTAAGGCTCCAACCGTTTTGTTTGTTTACTGTGTATAAACGTTTATTACCGTTTACTGTTTCCGTTTGTTTACACGGAGCCTTGTAAACTTGCTGTAAACGTTTATACACAGTAAACACACAGTTTTCTCATGTAATATGTGATGGTCTCTGAGTCTCATATGTCTTTATTTTACTAACAGAGATGGCCGGTTTATGGCAAGCTGCGGCGCACGCTCTACCGCCCGACAGCTGGACGGTACGACAGCGCTAAGCGCCAGAGGCCGCCGCGCCGCCGCGACCGCGTGTACAGCGTCGGGATGTGGGTTGCTAGGGCGCAAACTCATCGATAACACTCCAGATATCAAGATAAGCAAGCGTGATAATAAAATATATTTATCCCGCAAGATTTACAGCCTGGGGGTTCATGCTGGCATGCTAAGACATCGGACCTGTCTTCTTGAGCCCTTGAACACCCACGTCGTGCTCCACCACGCTGCGCCCCTTCTCACCTATGAGCCCTCCAACACTTGAAGATATTCGCAAGCTCGTTCAAGAGCTCACGGACCTTGCACCAGCATTGCCAGAGTCAGTCCCTCTTGCAAAAAAAACCGACAGAATCAGCAAGATTCTTGCCAGCACACAAGGTGAAGACGAGTTCCACACCTTCAATCGTCGCTACAATGCGTTGTTCGGAGTGGACTGTCGTATCGGACCTCGAATGCGATATGTCACCCGCGGGAAGTATGGGATGCTGGCTTGGTGCGAGTACATTCGCTCGATCAAGCTAGATGACCCCTCCATGCAGTCGGCTGTCGTCGAGCTTCGGCTCAAATCGCTCATAAAAGAGCTCGAGTTTCTTGTGTAAGTGGTATGGTGTTGCTTTGCCTGTTATGAAGGGGTCACTAACCTTGAAATGTAGTGGTGATGCAGCTCCCGGCCGCCCGTCAATTGACCCTAGCAATCGTCTTAATCCTGTGACAGCTTGTGGTGAGCGCGGCCAACAGGTGAATATTATGTAAATGATGCCTCAGGTGTGTATACTGACTGCAGATTCACATATAGCCTGTTGTGGAGACACAACCAGCCTTGCGAGAAGTCGAACGTGATGCTGGTGGCTCTACGCAGCCTGTGACCCATTCAGTAGTCGAGGAGCCGACCAGTACAGCTCTGTCCGCCTCTGGTAATGGCGATAACGCGCGCGATGCCACAGACAAGCCGACGAGGTTGGGCGCCGGCAAAAGCGCAGACAAGACGGGAAAAAAGAAGTCTGCGCCCATGCGGCAGCTTCCCCTGGACCAGCTGCTGAAACCCCAAAGTGAGCACATACTGCAGCATTTCAAGAGTCTCAATATAACACCTACGCCAGCTGTTGACCTGCTATCAGACGGTGAAGCCGGTGACAAGACATACCGACTTCCCAGGCGCGCTGTGGAAGATCTCCGCGCGCCATCAGTTATCTTCGATTCTGATGGCGAAGAGATCATCGAAGAGACACATCGGAGGAAGTCGAAGGTTAGTGTTACCCTTGGATAATTATAGAAGCGTATTGCTCACTGTGCCACCTGAAGCGCAAGGTGCTGTCAGACTTGTCTGATAGTGGCTCAGGTAGTGGCAACGACTATAAAGCCACCAGCGTCACAAAGTCCGACACCGACGACGTCACATCAGATGAAAGCGAAGAGGAGCCAGCCATCAGCGTTCGCAAGAAGACATCGAAGGCCAAGACGCATATACGTGCACCTGCAGATCATGGCAAGAAGAGGACAACCAAGGACATCGGCCAGAAGCGCCGTTCATCATCAAACAAATACAAGCGGCCAGTCAGTAACAAACATTTCCACACTTTGTATCCATGCACTAACCTTTCTGCGTGTATTGTAGCCAAGGAAGAAGGCAAGGAAGGCCGGGTTTGAGATAGAGGTGTCCTCGGGGAGTGAGTCGGATGGCCAAAATGCCCTTCGGCGAGTTGAGAAGGCGGAAGCAGCTGACAAGGGCGGAAAGCGCGGTCCTGT